CTCTTTCCATTACACTCTAAGTTCTCCCATGGGAAGCTGAGGCTGTCTCGATCTGACCTGTCCTCCCTTGACTGGAAGGCCCCAGAGATAATGACGTTAGTTGCCCCACCACATCCTCATCTTAAATGAACTTTTGGATAATAGAAATTCCTGGTATATATTTTTTTTCATTCCCACAGTGGAGTGGTGGGAAGGGAATTGTTTGGGAAGATCTTTTTGCTCCATCTATCAAGAAGAATAATTACTTTCATTCCTGATTTCCCAAACTTACCCTTCCTCCTGTTAATAATCAGAGGAAGATCCTGTCAGTCATTTTACACTTCAGTTTTCTGAGCCTCGACTCCTGGGGCACGTCTGAGGGTAGCTAAAGATAGGACCCCATGTAGCGGATTCTTAAATACGGTGGTCCGAGCTCAGGCCTTTCCTTACTGCAGGTCTTCCCTGCTGGCTGGAGTCCAGAGGACAGTCGGAGTACACAGTCCTCCTCCCCACTTTTGGCCTAAGGAGCATTCCTATCCCTTGCTTCTTGAGGGCTATGACTGCTGGTCTGGCAGCCACAATATGGACCCCTGTTTCTGCTGCTTGGAGCCTTCCTGTCATCCAGGACTCAGCATCAATCTGGAGGGCTGGAGATGGGGGACAATGGGAGCCGCCACATTGAATGTGTCATTGCTAGACCTTGCTGAATGGAGGGATGATTGGGGGTGAGGAGAGAGGAAGGAACATGGTACAGAGCATGGAGGACCTCATCCCGGGTGATTTGTCATGGGTGGAGAAAGCTCTGGCTATCTAGAGAGTCAAGTCTGAGACTCTTATCTTAGAATAATGGCAGTGTCCCTTGCGATGTAAGGCTTAAATTTAACATTGTATACAGTCTTAATGGTATTTTTAGATAACAAAACAAATAGGAAGATAGAGAAGAGTTAAAATCTTGAGTCTGAGTCTATAATAGCTTAATATTTAAATTACAGTTGTTTATGAGTGCTGCTTGCCTATATGTATGATTACTGTATGCATAGTAACTGATGTTTATTGTTGATATTTCAGATTAAATTTTATGTAAGGTTTATACAATTGTAACACTAAATTTCACTCACATGTGTATAATTTTTAGTTGTTCCAGGAAATGTAGTCCTCTGCTCTCAAGTCAAAAGAGAGGGTGACAGTGGCAGCAGCTAGACCACATGCTGCCATTTCCCACATGGGAGGGCAGGTGGGGGGCAACTCCTGCCCTAGGCTGCAGCCCCACAACTTGGCGGATTTATGGGCTCTGCTGTGGTTTGAGAATGAGTACCAACATTACCTGTCTTCTCCAGTGAGGATACTGAAACTGTGTCAAACAGCAGTGAAGGACGGGCCTCTCCCCATGACGTCCTGGAGACCATCTTTGCTCGAAAAGTGGGGGCTTTTGTCAACAAACCCATCAACCAGGTGATTTTTTCTGCCACTGCCACACGTGAGCATGTCTGAGCCATTAGAGTGAGGCTTTTACAGGCAGATCTCAGCCTGGGATCTGTACAGCCACTGAAATGACATGCAGATAGTGTGTCTGTGTGTGTGAATTTTTTGTGAAGAGGATTAATAATCTGTGACATCCTCCAGAGAAAGTTAAGAACTATTGTTCTGTGATCTGCTGAGTCTCCCATCAGAGAGGGCGACTTGACACCATTTAGTATAAACACTGTGCACTGACGTGTCATTGCTTCAGCCTAACTTGAAATAGGACATTCCTCCTTAGCTCTGCAGTGAAGAACAATTGTGACTGAATACCTGGAGTCTGGGGGGGCCCTGCCTTCTGTTTGTGCTGTGGGCGTGTGATGAGAAGTGGGGGAGATTGGTGGGTTTCTGCCAGCACAGGAACCTGAGGGGAGGTGTGGTCAGCCTGGGTGTGCCTACATGCTGGACCTCCAGGCTTCTGGAGGCCTCTAAGGAAGTGTGCAAACTAAGGGAGGGGCGGGCTCTAAAATTTTCCCCTGGGTCTCTTCAGGTGACCCTGACCAGTTTGGACATACCCTTTGCCATGTTCGCTCCTAAGAATTTAGAGCTGGAGGATGCCGACCCCATGGTGAGTCCACCATTGACTAAAGTTACCAGTGAGATGGGCGGAGTCGTCATCCTTCCTGGGCAAGTCACTGTTCCTCCACAGACCATTAGCCACGCCCCTCAGCTTATGCATTTGCAGCCAGTAGCGGGTCCCTTCAAAACTCGTGATTATGAACAGTAACTTGCAACCAGTGCACAGAACTAGCCCCTACCTCTGCTTCTTTCTACACCAGGTGAATCCTCCAGATTCCCCAGAGACTGAGTCTCCTCTCCAGGGAAGCCTGCACTCTGATGGCTCCAGTGGGGGCAGCAGTGGCAATACCCACGACGACTTCGTTATGATTGACTTTGTAAGTTGCCGTCACCTTCCTTGACCTCTGCTGTCCCAGGGGAAATAAACAAAGAGGCATCCATTACACTTGAACCAGACTTCTTTCACAGGGATTAGATGGGCTGGTGCAGACAGAGGGGATGGAACAGGTAGCTTCCCCTGCCATGCAGTGTATGTGGGGAACCTGCCCTCAAACTCTGCTTGGGGAGACATGTGGAGGCCAATGAACAGTATTAGGCATCTTGTGCCATGTCTTTGGTTGAAATTCATAATGCAATTCAGCTCTAAATGGGAGTTTTCTAGTGGTAGCCACGTCGGTCCTTTTCATGCCTGCGTGGATGGTCCTGTGGTAAGGAAAGGAGTTGGAAGGAAGGGGGCAAAACCCTGACCAGGGGAGAGGAATGTTCCCACCAGGATTAGAATTCAGCTACCCAGAAGGGAAAGGTGTAGGAACCTGGAGGAACCTCTTTGATATTTGCTGGAAGGAATGAGGGTTATTCAGTTTTTCTTCTCTGATTTTCCTCTGTGGTCCAAGGTAAGCTAAACCAAGTCTGTCTTGTTTTTGAAGAAACCGGCTTTTTCTAAAGATGACATTCTTCCGATGGACTTGGGAACCTTCTATCGTGAATTTCAGAACCCCCCACAGCTGAGCAGCCTCTCCATAGATGTCGGGGCACAGTCCATGGCCGAAGACTTGGTATGGAATCCTTCCCCACCCCGCCTCAGCCCCTGACGTCCTTTCCCCCTTGAATGGCCATTCCTTTTCCACAGACCTAGAAATTTCTTCTTTAATCCCCCACTCCCACACCTCACATCCTCCCTGTAACAGGACAGAGACACTTTTAGATTACATGAATCCAACAGCCCAAAGAGGTAGGTTCTCTCATTATCCCAGTCTACAGATGAGAAAACGGACACTGTGAACAAATAACCTGCCTATGGTCCCACTGAGCCTGCAAAACAAAGCTTTGATCTCAGAGAGTCTGGCTTCTGATTTTAGGCTTTTAATCACTGACTTCCTGGCTTCTCATTTGAAATGTGCTTGGAAGGAACTGGAATCTGAAGGCTCTCAAAGTCATGCTTGCCAGTACCAGCTGTTGGCCCCACCTCCCAAACCTGCCCCGGTCGTCTTGGTGTATCTGGGCCACTTTATAAATTCTGAGGCATGAGAATGTCCCACCTCTTCCAAATATCTTGTCCCTGTCAGGAAAACTTCCGGGATGGTTTAGATTCTTCAGATATAAATGTTTCAGTGGAAAGATCACCTGATGAGGATCAGAGTTTTTTGTTTGTTTGTGTTTGTAGTTTATTTATGCCTACAGTGCCTGGTCTTCCTAGGTGGAAAGTCTCCCATCCATCCAAGTACTAACCAGGCCCGACCCTGCTTAGCTTCTAAGATCAGACATCGGGTTTGTTCAGGGTCGCATGCCCGTAGACCATGGACCGTGGCTCCACTGGGGTGCGAACCCAGGACTTTAGATGTGCTAACCGCTACACTATGGAACCAGGTCCCATGGATCAGAGTTTTTTGATAGTCAATACTTGTGGGCAGTTAAACTTAACTCCTTATGGTTCTTCTCTTATTCTCTCTTAACCCCTTCTAGCTCACCCCCTCCTCAGCTAGTATAAAGATGCAGATTCCTAGGCCTCACCATAGACCTGCTAAGTCAGAATCTCTTGAGAGTATAGTGGGGACTGCCTTGTTCCTGTGCCCTCAGGGGATTCTGATGCCCAGCATAGGGTGTGAAGAAGTCTTTTTGTAAATCTTTCTTAGTTTTGAGCATTCTAAACATAATTTTATTCTACTGTCAGTCTAATCTGTGCCAAAGATATTTCACATTTAATTTTGCTGTGTCCTCTTATTGTTGGTGTGGTCCACTTGGATTTCCTAGGCTGTACTGTCAAACCTGCCTCCTCAGCCCCCACAAAACCCTGCTGGACATAAGCCCTCTGTCTGGTGCCTGCTCAGCTGCCCTGAATTCTCCTGCTCTCCCAGCCCAGCACTGCTGAGCTGAGCATTTTGCTGCATCCTTTCTTCAGCCCAGGGTGACTGGACTGCTTATCTCTTCAATGCCCTACCTGAGTGAGCAGCTCTTCTCTTCCCTCCTGGTACAGGACTCACTACCAGAGAAGCTGGCTGTGCACGAGAAGAATGTCCGAGAATTTGATGCCTTTGTAGAAACCCTGCAGTAAAAGTTGGTGTCCTCAAGTACCAGCAGCACCCCCATTTTGCGATCCTCGGAGACAGCCTCCCACTCATCAGCTGCTCCCATCCCTCATCCTGCTCCAAGCCAGGTGGAGGGGAGGCTGGATTCCCCCATGGGGACCCAGAGGTCCCTGTTCTTGCACTTCCTGGAGACTCCATGGCAGCAGTCAAGCCCAGTAATATCATTTGAGAGGACTCACCCTCTGGCCTTGGAGATGGGAAGACCCTTTGTAACAAAAGGGCCCTCTGCAGGGCCATCTGCTTTCACCGCCCATCAGCAGCTGCTTCACAAAGGCTGTCATCCTGTTCTCCTGCTGCTGGCCCCCTGCCCTGGGTCTTCCCTACAACTGGCCCCTCGCCTGCCTGCCATTACCACCAACCATTTGACATTCCAGCTGGTGGCCCAGAGTGGTGTGGAGGCAGAAAGAGGAAGGAAACAGTGCTGGGAGGAAGAATGAAGGCTCTTTGTTGTCTCATTTAGTTCTAGTATCTTCCTCTCTCTCCCCCTCTGCCCCTGTGCCTCTACTTTTGGCAATATGACAGGCCTCCTGCCTGAGATGATGAGAACTCCAAAGTCAACCATTCCCCCCCTTGAAGGTTGTATTTGCCCCTCCCTTAACACAGGGTCTGAGCAGCCCTGGTGGCTGCCTGTGCTCAGCTCCTCAGCGACATGGAAACAGAATCCTGTGACTAGGATTAGGAGTCACAGCAAAGGTTCTTCTTTTCCTCTCCCCGCTCCCCCTGTTGCTGCTCCTTGGTTATAGAACATGGTAAATATTTATTACTTTCAGAGAAGTCAGATATTTTATAGAGAAAATATGTTTGAGTTTAGATGTTTTCAGTTGGGGAAGGTAGAGTGCCTCTTCTTGGGGCAGGGCCTCCTGTGGGCGTTCCTCAGATTCTGGGTTGCTGCTCTGGGGATCTTCCTTCTCATATATATAAGGTGGGAGCCAAGAATAAGGCTGGCTGAGGGCAACAGAACCTCCCAGACTCTGCATTTGAACTGACAACAGGCTTTACCTTGGACACCTACGTATTCCTGGTGAGAGCCTTGGCTCTTTCACAGCTTCTGCAAAGTGACTGACTTGGTTCTGGCGGCCCAGGAAGCCTTGGGTGCTAACGGTGATGACTCTCTAGAGTTGCCCAAGGGGCATTATGTGTGCCACACTGGTGGGCCTGGGGAAGGCCAGACAGGTTCCCTCCCTCTGGGGCACTTGTTCCTATTTCTCAGGGCTGGGTTATGGGCCTTTTCCTCCTTCCACCTGGCCACTGCCTTCCTTCGATCCCAGGGCCTGTACACTGCCCTGAGGTTTACTCGTTGCATTGGTTCCTTGTTGAGAAACTAAAGCTGGGCAAATGATTGACTTAACCCTTCAGGTGTTGTTAACTTGAGTAAGTCAAGTGCCTAGCCTCACCCACCTAATATCTGTCCCTCCCCCAGCCTAACTGGTAGTCCTGACCATGGAAAAATGGGCCTGCCCCATTCTTCCTGGTCCCTCCTAGGTATTCATTGGCAGCAGCTGTTCTGTAGAGGAGCATATGGCCTTCAATTGCTTGTTAGTAAATGCATGTGACATTGTTCCCACCTACAAGGCTGATCTCGGAGGGCTGGATTGGGCTCCGATGTCTCAGGCTGAGCCCTGCCCCTATGCATGCATTCTGCTGCCACAGAGAAATGTTCCCAGCAGTAGTATCCAAGTGGCCGTCTTATCTTTGGGCCAGAGCATACCCATGGTCTGCTAAACCAAGCCAGATTTACCCCCAAGGTCCCACCACTGAGAAGGCTGGAGGCCCATTTTAAGTTATTGATTGTCCCCTCGCCCCTCACCCTAATGTCTCAGCCATTGCCCTCCTTTGAGGCCAAGCATGTAAAAGCCTATTAGCAATTGTCCTCTTTGACGTCTAATTGTTGGCCTGTGTAGGCAGCAGCCTTTCTTCAGGACTCCATCAGTGAGAGGCCAAGGAGGCTGAGCCCTGACTCTGAGCTAAACCTGGGAGGAGCAGAGCAATTGTCAAGGCCGGCCCTTGCCCCTCAGCCCTGTTTAATAAGAGAGATGAGCCCTAGACTGATTTCTGTAGCACCTTGGGACAGGGCAGGGACCAGTCATCTGTCTCCAGGTGGCGGAGTCCCTCCCCTCCTCCAGCTTACCTTGTTTGGGAATATTGAGTTATACTTTAAAATGTATTCAGGAGATTTCCAATAAAATTTTTTCTGTACTTTACAGTTTCCTGTCCTGCAAGTTGTCTAAAATCCTAGCCCACTGCCTCCCACTCCTGTGCAGGTCTGGGTCAGGTCCAGGTCAGCAACAGGCTCCTTGGCAGGGGAAGAGCAATGCATTGGGAAGCACAGAAAGGCTTCTGAGTCAGGCAGGCTGTTTTGAGTCTTGGGGATGGGCCACTTAGCAGCTGTGCAAGCTTGGGTGTGTCATGAAACCTCTTGGAGCCTAGTTTTCCTGGGCCGTAATGCTCCCATTTCAGGGGCTTGTATGTGAATATTCAGTGAGATGTATGACGTACACCATGCATATGAAGTAAATTCTCAGTGAATTTACCATCAGCTCGCTCTTCCCTGCTATACCAAGCAGCACACCACTCAGCCTGGAGGCGATGGCCTTTGGATCAGAGGGAAAGATGACTAACAGGTCTCTGCCATGTTTCTAGCAGAAGCCGAGCAGGGAGTGTGGGTCTCCCCAGTTGTCTGTCTGGGATCCATTTGCCAACCAGTGTGACGGGTTGTGGCTGAGCAAACCAGGCTGAAGGGAAGCGGTTGAGGGAAATAGCAGGAAGTCATGGGCCTGTGCCAGTTTAGCTGCCCTGATCTGACAGGTTAAGCCAGGGTGGCCTTGAGGAGCCATGGAAAGTAGAAGATCCCGACAGGGACTTCCTGCCTGGGCCCTGGGGGCTTCAGCAGACATCTCAGCCCTGGCAAGGCTAGCTCCTGCCTTTCCAAAGATATCGGGGCACATTGGGGTATTTTGTGCCCACAGTGAAGGAAAGGAGCTGAAGGTGGAGCCAGTGTCCCAGAGGCAGAGACCAACTGCCTGACACCCTGGCAACTGCTGCATGAGTTGCTTTCCCACCCACTTCAGGCTGAAGCCAGGCCCCAGAAATAGGCTAGTTATTAAAAATTCTAAATTCAGACCAACTGAAAAGAATAGGGCCCATCCGCTGTTGCCATTATGGGCCCTGGGAGCCCTTGCTTGTTAGTAAACTGCAGGTGACACTGACCATGGTGCCTGACCATGCAGCCAGTTAGGACAGAGTTGGCCAACCCCTGGGTCAGAAATGGTAGAAAGACTGTCCCTGGTGTCCTCACCTCAATTGGGATTCCCCAAAAGCAAAGTTTTCCGTTTCCCCATGTCTGACGACGGTGCCCTATCCCTTTAAAGCATCTCCGTACACTCCATCCCCAGAGACCTGCTGTTGCTAAGGCAGGGGTAAACTGGCTTTGCACTCACTCCACAGAGGCCCTGCCAGCAGCCCAACCCAAGTTAACAGCTGCCTCTGGATCCCCTCCTTGTTGCCCTGGGTCACAGCCCTTCTAAACAGTCACCCAGCTTACAGCAGAGGAGAGCCAGTGAGAGAGGCCTCCAGTGCCTTCTGTTCCAGCTCCCTGGATGAGGGCCACAGTTGTGCAACGGACGAGCTTCCTGGAGCTCAGTGCCTATGTTTATAACCACCGTCTATCCACACTGCCTGATCCTGCAGCTCTGGTCCACCTCCCCCAGCCCGAGCAAGCAGTGAAGAGAAAAAAGAACAGGCCCGACAGAGGCCACCAGAGCCTCCTGATTGCACTTGGCAGGCAAGAAGCAAACTGCTGGAATTTGACCACTGTGCCAGGCTCAGAAGTATGAAAAGTCACCAGGTGAAATTCTGGCCTGCCATCGCAGTGATTTTTTAAATTATGGTAAAATATACAAATTTTACCATTTTAACCTTTAAAGCAAAGCAAAACCTGCTTAAAAGAGGAAAGGAAAACTGGATCTTTCATAGCTTCTATGTGACTAAGTGGCAGGTGGAAAGAGCTGAGGCTCTCAAGCCAAGTGGAGGTGGGAGAGGAATGGAATGACTGGGAGGTGAGGGCTTTGATCCTGGCTGCCACACAGGTTGGGGCTATCACTTCATTCATCTGTGAAATGGTCATTCTAATTACTACTGGACCCTCAACCCCATGTTATGTCCTGTATACATTATTTCTGATCTGAAGAAAGTCTCAGACACGGGGCCAATTATATGACTATCATCAGCTGGCGGTGAGTGATGGAACTAGGATTCAAACCCTGTCAAACTCTAAAACCCATTCTGTTGTCCACCACAGCCCACTCCATTTTGAAGACAGAAAAGGCCCTGGTCATAGGATACAGCATATGGTTGTCGATTGGAATGCTGCAGGTGCCAAAAATGGAAGGTGACTGTTCGCACTTCTAAGCCTGGAAGATGGTCAGAAAGCTGGCCTCATACCCACTCACAAGTGAACAAGATGAGGAAAGGGGTCAGATGGACTGGAGAGGGACTTCCTGAGGCCCCATCTGCCAGTTCTAAACCTCCATGCCCACTTCCTTAACAGCCAGATGGGCAGTTTTCATCTCCATTTTTATTGAAATATAAAAAGTGCAAAGGTGAAATACATGATTGGTGCCAAGGAAGTCATTAAGTGTGAATGTGAACACTTGATTCACAGTATGAGCCCTTCCCCCACCCCTTCCCCTGCCAGGTACAGACCAGTGGGGCAGGAACAGGGGAAAGACCAAATAGATCCACAGGCTCCCAGCCAAGGGGGCTGCGAACATCTGATACATGGAGGAAAGCAGAGGCCTGAGCCCAGGCTAGAGACACAGGGACTGACAGAACCAGCAACCATGCCAGTCCCTGAGGGTCCTGACATGCCAGCGCCCTGGGGAGAGAGGCCAGGGAGGTCAGGGGCCAGGCCCTGCCCAGCTCCCCGATGGAGCTGGGCTGGTGAGGACCCCTATAGTATAGGCATTGGTCAAGGGGGCAGGGCCACTGCAGGTACTTCCCTGCTGCCAGGGGACAAGGCTACAAGAAGGTGGGTGAGTGGGGGAAGAATTTCCCAGCGTTCAGC